CCGCTCTCCCCTACCGGGGCGGAGAACAATGGCAGGTGGCAGCATAATGAGGTATGCGCTATCGAAACCCGTGACCCTGTCTACAGCACGGCCTGGGTGCATGGCTTCGGATGGTGTAACCAGCGCCTACCGCCGACCTTTGGCGTCACCTGAATAGAAACGAAACGATTTGAAACAGTGGGCTTATTTGATTTCTTAAAAATGTGTATATGTTGTCATGTGCTTTTCGGGTAAAAATAACACAAAGACTAAGACGTCTCAAGGGCTTTCCGATCTTAGAAACCAAAGTAAGTTTTGAGCCTGCTTGTAAAACACGAATAATCGGGTCAATGAGGCGGCTTTCCCGTTTCCAAATAATCGTTGATAAATCTGGTCATCTTTGTCATGCACATGGTGGTGTCATTCAATGCGTCAGTCAGCCAACGTACAGTGTGATAATCAGAGGCGGATCCAGCTCAGAGTTTTTTTTTTTGGGGGGGGGGGCAAACCATAACAGTTTATCGATTCTTTCCATGCATCGTCCATAGGCGTAATGTTAAAATTATGCCGTTTGGGGGGGGGGGCAAATGCCCATTTTACCCCCCCCCCCCCCCTGGATCCGCCACTGGTGATAATCCTCCCGTTCCAGTTCCATGTGCAGGCACGCACCAAAAGACTGTTTCATGAGGCTCATTATACGTTATGCCGGTTTGTCCAAAATGTCCATGCAACCGAGCGACGACGTAATCCCCGTCACGTATTCCCTGCACGTTCACCGTTCAGGGACATGGGGCCCTTACGATTCCGTATCGCTCAGAATCGCTGACTGCTGGGTCGGAGAGTCCAGTTCGACGCACTGATATCAATGTCTCGAGAGTCGGGACGATGAAGTAGGGAGACCTGGAATTTATCAAGTCGAACAATCATGCCATTACTCACCAAAAAGGAGCGTGAGGCTCTTGCGTTTTGGAACTTGCATTCATTGATAACGCCAATTATAAAATGATCATCATCAAATTTCTTTGAATCCCAAGGCACAGTAGGTACACCAAATGGCGGAAAGTCGCCAGCATATTTGAAAGTCGCTCGGTAAAATGTTATACCTATTGAGTTATGACCCTGAAGTCTTCCTAAAAATTATACAACTGTTTCACACGACAAGTTGTCAACACCGCACGCAAAGTAGTATGCATGCGTGTCATGTTGTTTCCGTTTTCAGCTTCTTCGTTGTGTTTTACTTGAGTTGTTTTAAGTTTTATTTGTAGAAATGCTTCTGTGATCTTTCACAAAGACATTCCAGCACGGTGTTACTTGTATTTTTATCCACTGCCTCGTCACGAAAGAGTTGACATGATTCGAAACAGTGGCAGCTCTCAGTGCTGAGCTGAGCTTGTAAAATGTTTGCATGTTGTTATGTGCTTTCCGGGCATAACAGCACTACAGAGGATTTAGAAGTTTCAAGGGAACCTGAGACAAGAATGACACCTCTAAGTTTCCTCCCGGATGCCGGAGTACGAGGAAATCCGATGTGCCAAAGGAGCAGCCACAGATTGTCACCGTATACCGACAAACGCTCGGTCAGGGTCAAGTAGGTTCCACACCACGACGTCCCTGAACAAAGCCTATTAGTGGCACAGAGAAACAGAGAGCCGACACAATCGCCGTCGCTAAGTACAGGAGTCCCGGGCCATAGCCTCCGGACGGCATTGGCGCCCATTGTCAGTGTCCAGGTGGCCGACACAGTCGAGTAATAAATACTTGTGAAGGCTGTGTGGTATTTTCGTAGTTCTTGTTAGTTTTAGGGCCATGGAAACTGTCATGTCCCGATAGAAGTACAGTCGTATGCAGATATGCAGGCATCCCTAAGCCATGTATATGCAGAGAAGGTGGGTGACACTCACGACTCATCCGCTGGATTAGTATGAGCTTTTAGCTACAACGGTGCAGCCCCACACCAACTACGGATTACCAGCATACCAACCCGGCATGCACAATCTAGCACGCGGTCAAGGCACGTCATTTTTTAGCGACACAATCCATATAACGGTCACTCTAGCCCAGCAGAGATCGGCTTCAGCCCACTGATACCGTACCGTGCACTTGGGTACTTCCAGGCTGAATGCTGGCCCACGGAAGCGGAATTCGATATCCTCTTAGATCTTATCGCTTCAATCTGAATCAAACGGCTGTTTTGATGCCAGGCATTATGGCGCCGCCTCGAACAAATTGCACAGAGAGGAATCCGAATGTTGGCATAGATCTCTTGCAATAATAATCTCACATAACCCACAACACAGAACGACCGTGAACTTGATCTCTGACTCATGCTGGCGCAGTAATGCGAGTTCCTGTGTGTTGGTATCTGTGTATTTTGTGGAGGATATGAGTGTGGCGATATTACTCCCGTGTCCGGCAGCTGCTGCCTTTATAGAGCGTCTGGTGCGGTATGAGTCACAGTCATTACTGTGCACTCGTTATGACATAAGCGCCAGTTCAGTCAGACAACAGACCGACACAGACAGACAGACAGCCGCTGAGAATCTCAGTCGGAGCCGGCGGTCACGCTCCGTTTCAGTGCAAAACGCGGTCTTGCTCTTCGAAATCTCTGCGGCACCGAGCGGCGTAGGGTCGCTTGAAGCAGCCTGAGGGCGCAAACGACGCATGTCCGAGCAAATTCATACAGCGCAGATTGCAATAGTATCACGAAATAGATTATATGACTGTGACCTGCACGCGGCGCCGTCGGCCCGACTCTCTGACTCGGTACCGCCTGGGAAAGCAGCGAAGGAGGAAGTGGAGCGAGCGCGGGGAAAACTGCACAGAGTGCCGGCTCAGGTGGCAGACTTGCCGGCCCACTCCTCGGACGCGGTCATTGGAGCGTCATTCGTCACTTGGCCTCGGACGAAGGAAGTTCGATCGGACTCGTGATAAGGTAGTCCAGCTGCTTCACGAGCCAGACCACAAGCGCCGGACCTTGAAACTAAGGAACACTGACCTCAGCGCGGTTCGACAAAATTATTTCTTCCCCACGGTGATGATATACGACGCTTGTTAAATTAGCTTTGGTTGCACCATTTGCATTTAGACGACATATTGATTAGTCAGTATTTGATATTTCCAATCGATCCACACTGGTCAGATCATGAAACAAACATACGACCGTGCATGGATTGCATCGCAAGCTAATGTTGCATCACATACGGGCTAGGAACTTAGCAGTTAGCACATCCGTTACCTGTTTTAATGCACTATTATTTACGACCAACAATAGCAGGAACATGTCGTTAAAGTGAAGCACTATCATTATCAACTCCGAATCCTTTATTTCATTCTCGTGATTGTATATCCAAAAATAGTATCATTGCACAACCGTACACTTGTCGACTGCCTAAATACAGCTCCTCAGCATTTGCAGACTTCCCTCTCTCGTGAATTATCCGGATGACACAGCGAAAGTGACCATCTAGCCGAGCCAACAATAGACTAGCTGACGACGCTGCGTTCCTCAGGCGTAGCATCGATTGATTATCATACAACAGCCATCGGGTCGGCCGGTGGAAGAAACCCGTGGTCAGCGGTATGCACTGCGTCATGATGCGGCGTGCATCGCGATCGGGGGGACCGTGCTGTCCCGCTCCGAGCGTTGCGATGGGCACGAACGATAGTGACCCACCGCAGCGCAGCGACGGATTTAGCAAACAAATTCAACCGACTAACGCTGCGTGAGCGTGAACCTCGAGTTCAGACGCTCACTTCGCGTCGGCATAAATGCTGAGATAGCAGAGGGGATATAAACAAGCGCACCCGAAGCGTAGACTACATAAGCAGTTGCCGCCAAAGCCCGATGTTTCGCCTCGTCACGGTCCTGAATCTGTTTCCGGCCGTCTGCCGTTTAGGCAGTACCCGGGCTGTAGGTGCACGGTTCGCGGCTCCGAACCCCTGCGAACCGGCAGGGGCGGCCGCCCAGCCGGCGCCGCCGCTCCCATACACACTCCGCCGACACCGCGAACTGCGGCCGTCTCTGTGGCTTCCTCGCACCGACAATCACTTACTGCAGCAGTGCAGTCCAATTAGGGCGTCATTTGGTCGCCGGACGCCGCGCTGGGAACGGCCGCGCCTCGCCGTGCCGCCGGGGCAGGGCCGTTCACCTCGGCCGTAGCACGCGGTACGGTAGGCACTCGAGCGGGTCGCACGTCCCGGCCAGGCCAGCCAGCAGCACTCCAGGCGACACCCCGGGGCGAAGGGAGGGGGGGGGGGCGGTGCTGACGACGCTAGGGTCACTGGGGTCAAGGCGGAACGAGCCGAGACTGCGACACAGCCTCCGGGCAGACCCACACGCCGCCGAAACAGGAAATGACTGCGACAGAGCGCTACAGGGCAACCGTGTTATTATCTCGGCATGAACGACTGTTGGCTGACACGCAAATATGCGTTATATATGTGCCGATGTGCGGCAAATATAAAAACGTTTATAAAAAATAAGTGTGGGCAGGCACGTGAAATTCTGCTAGGAACATTGAGTAAATGAACAATGGGGCCTGGCGATAAATTTAAGGAAATGGAGCGGGCGGAAAGGCCAAAGCCCCAAAATAATATTCACATTTCCCCAAATATCTACCAAAAGTATCAGACCAGCTTATGTTAGTAGTGGTCACAGTTTACAACGGACACACGAAAGCACCACTTAATCGCGTCAAATACAACTTCCTTTCGAGTAAGGAAAATGTCTCATCATGCTGATGCTTAGTTAACATCACGAAATTTCCTTGGGTGAATAATATTTGTCAAAACATATCATTGGGCAATCCAGCTCGATCATGCGACCTTCCTCGTTTAAACAGATGTCTTGCCACGGTCGAGAAAACCCCGTCCCTCCCCACATGACCCAGACAGTGGCCACCATTCATGGAACTAACGCCATTACTTTACCTTCGGTAGTCTCTCCCTTGGTCCCCCGGCGGCCAAGCCTCAGATAGCCATCAAACTATCCAGTCGAACACACTCTCTCCCAAACACACAGACACGGACACACAAACCCTTCTATTCGACACTTTCTCCTCTTTCCAATGACACCAGCACACATATCTCCATCATCCCCACCCATTCTGACTGTGCCCCCCACCTCTCTCACACACTCAGTTCCACCGCGCGGCGGCTCACGCCTGCGCCTGCTCGCGCCGGGGTGGGATCACCACCCGTTTGGGCAGGCGCGGCTCGAGCAGACAGCCCCGCTCCGTGTCCACGCTCAGAGACAGTCCCAGGGCGCGCTCCTCCTCTGCGATCCACTCACAGGCGCGCCGGCGCTCCTCCTCGAACGCCGGCTTCTCCGAGTCGAGCTGACGGCGCAGCGCGTCCAACTTCTCCTGGCGGATGTTGTCGCAGAAGATCTGCACCATGCGACGGATGCTGGTCTTGCGACAGAGAGTGACGTCCGTCCTGCCGGCCGAATGGAACGCTTAGCGGCGGCTTAGAGGTCGTCGGAATAGGCGAGGGCTGGAGACGTCGATACTTGAAGGATGAGCTTCAGGACGTTCAATTCTGGAGTCTGGATGAGGCTATTGAATTTCAAGATGTTGATAGCTTGAGTTTCTAGGAGTCCTGACTTGGTATCCAGGGTGGCCGAGGATATCAGGATAGCCGCCCTTTCATAAGAATCATGAGTGAATTAAATATGATTTCAGTTTTGATGCAAAATCTTTCGTACATAACGATTTTTGAAAAAACAACTTAATGTTTTTTTAGAAGTAGCTTACATACAACTTGGTATATCGATTTGTGGATACATACTGCATAATGGTATTATTGGTGGCATAATCTAAAGCAAAATTTAAACGATAGGTTAGATAAAAATAACAGTGAAATGGGTAGCATGTATTTTGTTTTCACTGGTAAACTTACAGCAGGACAACCACAAGCTCATAAAGACAACACGCCAAACAAATACCCACACCAGAATTGGCTACTGTGCACAGTTCGTGACAAGAAAACTCATCCACCGGACTGCCTCCTACCGCTGTAAATAAAACTACAAATCGCCTCCCGTTGAAAGATCGCCTCAGCGGCCGTAAGTTAAGACCTTTCGCGTGAGAAACCGACTTGGAATACGCCACCACGAGGTAATTTGGGCAGCGCTCATTAGCGTAACATCCCGTCAGCCCGGGAAACCGGTGCCAGTGTAGAACACGCACGTCTGCGTGCCAGTATCATCGGGAAGACCGGTGACGTCACGATTTGACGTCACGGCGGTAAGGAATCTCTAACAGGATCATCGTGCGGGTGATGGGATAAATGAGAGCCTGGGGAGAATTAGACTAATGTATTTCAAGTTAGGATCGGACCAAGGACGACTTGCTGGATAGGAGGGGATCAGAAGACGAACCGTTCTTCGGACAGGATGCGACTACAAACCGCTGTTCGGGTGGGATCATACCGATACCACAGGCCGTTTTCGGGCCGGGTCGGACAACAGACTCCTCTCCTCAGGCCCAGAGGAGCTGGTAAGTGGTAACCACTGACCACCCAGGGACGAGTGGAGGCTGATGGCGTGATAACAGAGCCATTGTGACGCATTACTCAGACGGCGAGACAGCCGTGGAAATCAGATCAATTAACACATCGGGGCTCAGCCGCGCACCGACACCCGAATCAGGCCGGAGAGATAGCATCGACAGCACGGGAACGGCCAGAGCACGGAGCCTGACTGACGTCTCAGCAGAGCAGAACGGCCGGGATGTCACAAGGACAGAGCAGAGACGGTCAGATAGCGGCATTGTGTGGTCATCCCCAGTGCAAATGACTGACAGCCTTCGCAGTCTGTTGCAGCGGCACATGTTGCCGAAATTGCAGGTGGGCAGAGCGTGCACAGAGTGCTACGTTTACCTGGATTTACATGTGATAGTTGAAAGGCATTGCGGCTTGGTTCATGCAAGCATTTTTCAACAAACGGTATTTGTAAGCCATTGTTACATGGGAATCGCTTTGTTTTGATTATGAAATATACCATAATACCCTGTGTTTGTGTGCTAGTTTTAGTCAGCAGTCTGACTACGAAAACCATTATTTATCTCTATTCGGTTCCAGTTAGTTTTAAGTGCCTGAAAATGACACACTATTAGGTTCGCGGCAAAAGGCAAGCATATTATTTCACAGGTAAACACAGCGATAAATAATGGATAAGGAAGGCTAGTCCCTTCCATCATAAGCCTCATTTTATCCACCCTAATCGCTTTCTCATTAGTCTCGTTTCTAGGAAAATTGACCAGTGGGTAAGTTGATCAGTTGAGTCACAGTGTGTACTAGGAAGAAAAAAGTGTCTGGCAGAGCCCAGCAACTCAGATGGAGCCAATCACCGATAAGCCGCTTAGATGCTGACCAACGCATGCAGCTGGCATGGGACCATTCGAACATATAGCTGGCAGTTGTAGGTCAACTGGCAACAGACAGCAGAAGAGAGGAAATTGGAAACGGAGTCCGGTGCGTCATAATGGGACAACAGCCAATTAGAACATTGTGCATTGATCGTGCACAGAATACAAACATAATTCAGCGGACTGAGAACATTTTCATGATGCACACGGACGGCAAACTAACAAGTAACAAAGATGGTTAAAGGTGCTCTTCAACAACTATTGACAGCAGAGCAGTGAAGAGTCATTGAGGAAGCACAATGAGTCATTGAGAGCGGTAGGATATCGAAGAAAATCAACTTCAAAAGCAATTACAGCTATGTTATCTGCACAACATGATTGCTCGGATCTTGATCGAAATGAAAATGTAAGATACAACGAGTATCTGTGAGAAAATCTACGCTTACATAAACAAGACAATGATCAATAAATGAACCGTGCACCTCTAGGGCCGTGCTGAATGAAGGAGTGTGTCCAATTATCTCAACAGGTTTGCGATCCACCAATGACAGCAAGGAAGCGAATTCTCTTTTCAGAATCACCATTCACCAAACACTAGAGGTGGAAACGGCTGGAATCGGCGAAGGAATGAGATGAACGGCGATTTACCCATCAGAGGAACACTGGCGACATCTATCGAACGAAGACACCAGGGAAGCGATAACTACTCGTATGTACCGAGCTGACGCTGACTTGTGCCGGTCAGCGTCTAGAAAGCCAAAAGCCAAGCCTCTAAAAGAAGCCAGCTTTGATGAAGTGATTTTAAAACTCAAAGGTCTTGCTTTAGCATTTAGTGTTGAGTTATAGATATAGATCCTGTTTTGGAATGTCGTCCGCAGATTTTCCGAACCCTCAATTTGGGCATTCATGGTATTGGTACGTAGCTCGCAATCCATATCCAAAATAATCTTCCCCAGAGCCCTAACGACAAACAGTCGAACGCCAAAGCAGCAAAGTAGCCCACCCATCACTCACTTGTAGGGCAGCGGCGGCCGGTAGACAATCTCCAGCTGCTCCAGTAGCCACTCGAAGCGCCGGTAGTCTGTGGCGCGCAGTTTGCGCAGCAGACCGCTGCGCTTGTGCGCCAGGTCGTGAACCCGCGCACGCATCAGAGAGCTGCTCTTGAATATGGCCGGGTCCTGGAGCAGCAGCTGGTAGCGACGGATCTTGGCCGTCATCCGACCGACTGCGGGAAAGGACGGTGAAGGGCCGTCAGCGATGGAACGCTCACTCGCTCAACCAGCTGTCTGGCGAGTTCACGAGATGCAAGACATTAACGGATAATTATCATTGATAACCTTCACTGGAACATCCCAAATTTTGATTTTTTAACCTTCGCCCCAGTGGGGGGGGGGGGGCATATGTTACCACCCTGTCGCTTTTTTTGCGTGTGAATAAAAAAACGCGGCGCGCAGCGCCGCGCCGCTTAGTGTAGCTTTTGGTACATCAATTTTGGACAATGTGTGAAATTTTTGACCCCAGGTCATGTCAGGTCAGGTCACTAGGTCAAGTTAACTGACCAAGCCTAAAAAAGTTTGCAATCATGTCCAGCATGCAGTGTTTGTCAGAAAGGTTTTAAACTTGGTGGATCGCATGATGTTATGGGCACCTACAATTTGTATATCTCAGATTTTTTATATCCGTGACCTAAGGTCAGGTCAGTGGCGTGACCTTTCCATTACAAGTCAATGGAGAAAAATGAAAATGCCTCTAGATCCGTGTGTACGCATAGGAACAGTCCAAATATTTCAGAATCACAATGATTTGGACCACTCGTGATGACCAAGGTGTCATTTTTGCTGATAGCCTCTAGAAAGGTCATCCGAGGTCATCTGAGGCTACAAACAGATTTTTGCCAATAACTCACGATTGGAAAGAGATAGAACGCTGGGGATGGTCTCATTGTGTTTGTCTTGCCGAGACGCATCGACTGATATGCAACATGACGTTTTCCGGTCAGGTCATGACCTTGACCTGAGGTCAAATTTTCAAGTTGACCTTTCAAGGTCAAATTATAGTTCATTCGACGCGTCTCGGCGAGAGGAACACGATTCTGTCAATAGAAATGTCGTGGCTTTTTGTGGTCGAAAGTTATTGTAGAAAAACACTTTTCGTAAAAACAGCTATTTTTGTAGTTTTTGCCTTCTGGAGGCTAAACCGTTGACCTGAGGTCAATTTTGATTATGAACTTATCAAAAAAAGATTTCAAAAACTATCGATTGCTTTTCCACGCGTTTTTCTAGCTACCATAGTTCCTGAGATAACGGCATGTTTTCTGAAAAATATAATGACCATTGGCAAATTTTGACCTTTGATGACCTCTGGTGACCCCAATATTGCTCCAAGATGAAAAATGACTGAAATACTTTCAAACGTACGCATTGAGAGCTATCGACTGCTTTTTACCGCGTCTTTCTAGCCCTCTTAGTTTTTGAGTTAGAGGTGGGTGGTAACATATGCCCCCCCCCCCCCCCCCCCCCACTAGGGCGAAGTTGGCTGAGACCGCCACTGGGGCGCGGGTTAAAGGACTACACCTGATTGTGTTGCGTGACTTACTTTGTGCCTCGGGTGATTCCGTATCGAATCGGTGCCGCTGAACGAACGCCATCGCCTTATCCTCCAGCTGTTTGGTCTTCTCTACCCCGCGGGCGAACTCGAGCGACAACACTCGCTTCGTGACATCATCAGATCTGGCGGCGAGAGAGCAAATGCATGAGTGGAAAACATAAAATGGCAGGAAACACCAGCGAGGTGAAATGGCCTAAACAAACAGCATGACACAGCCACAGGCCAAGATCGGCAATGTGGTAAATGTGGTCCAAGATCGGCACTGCCAATATGCATTAACAACGAGAGAACTCTCGATGTGAGAAACCGAGAAATCCATACAATTATGTGTCAGACCTAACGCTTCGTAGGCTCCGTGCCCATCTCACAGATATCATCCCGTCATCCCCTCATCGTTCCCAGCGGCTCGCACCTGTCGAACTCTTCACGCGCGGCGCTGACGGCCGACTGTGGCTGGCTCTCGTCCACCGGCTCGGTCACGCCCAGGTCTCCGGTGTAGGCCGGTGACAGCTTGGACGGACGCGTGATCGGCCGCCACTTGACCACGTCCTTGACGTCCCGCACGCGCCACCGCACCGGCTGAGTCGTGTTGATGACTGGCAGTGCTGTAATGGCACGGGGAGCAGAAACACTGGCAGTGAATGGCTGCTGTGTTGAACTTCGCCCATGGCCATTACACCAGACTTCCTGAAAAACTTATTGTCCATACCATGAAAAAGCAACTATGACCTTCATCTGTGAGTTGGTAGTGAGAATCTTATCAGTACCCAGGGGCTAAGGATGGCAGTCATGCCCTCAAAGAAGAATTGGATTTAGCAGTAATGAGATCACTGTACAATCAAATGCAGCTCTATTTCAAATGCACTTTGGGGAATTATTTCAAGTAACTTCTGTTAAGCAGGTAATGATTAGGACTGCAATGGTTCAGCAAATGATAAATTTTCTTCTTACATGGCATAAAGCAGCAGCCTGCATTGAACATTTCAATACAAAGCAAACAGGTAGCTAGGATACATACAGAATACAGCACCATTCAACAAAAATATAGGGTGATTGATTAACACCTGGCAAAAATATTTAACCTTAGAAAATAGAAAATTTAAGGTTCAGAAGACCTAGACAAAATCTAAGAGGTATTTGTTCCAAGCACACACGTCTGCAAACATACACAGATGACCTAGGATCTCTGTCTTCCCAAAAGCTACTCAGTATCCACTTCCCAAAAACTACTCAGATTTTTGCTCCTCTTGGGTTGCCTTGTTATAAGAAGCAATATCTTTGTGGGATGCCAAATTTTCTTTTGAAGTGACCAAATAATATTCAGATTTAGATGCTAATTGATAAGAGAGAAGTGAATGCCCCATATTGTCTGCAAGATATTCAGGTTAGATCTAGGCCTACTCAGGTATTTTGCAATGCTTTTTTTACATTATCTGATTGATTTGGGAAATACGAGACCAATAAAAGACAAATTTAGAATTAAATTGGAATGTCCTCCTTTACTAAGCCCACCCACAATAACACACTCTGCTTGCGTTAAGATGTTCCTCACCTGTTCTTAAGACCCTTAAACTTTTAAATACACTCATTTCAATCGGTGAAGACTTCCAAAAAATGCAACCTTTAAAAAATAAAACCCAGATCCCTCGCTACCAAGGCTATATAAACCCTCGCTACCCTCGCTACTGTATCTGCTGCTACTGTCAAAGGGTCTGTTCCCGTCGCTCCTCCCAAAAAATCTCGGATGAGGTTGGATGAGCTTGGAGGAGAGCCGTTTCAGAGGGGTGAGTATTGAAGCATCCAAGAGCGCAGCATCCAAGGGACGCAACATCCAAAACCTTAGCATCCAGCGATCAAAACGTCCAAATAACATCCAAAACCGACTCCTTAGGGATGATTCAGAGCATCCAAGAGCGAAACATCCAAAACTGCAACATCCAGGACCACAGCATCCAAAATCGTATCATCCAAATTGGCAGCAACCAAGGACGAGGAATTGCAGCATCCAAGAGTGAAACATCCAAGGGTGCAGCATCCAAAACCGTATCATCCAAAAAACATTTTTGGCACCGCAGCATCCAAGACCGTATCATCCAAAATAGTGACATCTGTTGTACAAGCTGTAAACTATTAGTTCAATGGCTGTCCGATAGGTGGTGGCACGTACGGTTCATAAGTGACGGAATTGTATGACATCACTGAGTCTCTATACAGTGGCATCCCTATAATGACCTTACATCCTCAAGACGGAGGTGCGTAGCTGCTGGTAGCGACATCGCTGCGATACCACTACAAACCTGACATATGACATGAAGACGCATTGCAGCGTATCCAAGCGCGGCACGTATGTAGGTAGGCTGAGCCGTTGAAGTGTCGATAATGGAGACCGATACCGAAAGTGGGTTTATTTGCCCTTTGTTTTCACACCAGAAGTGCCTAATAAGTCGTGAAGTGTACACTATCCCCGTAACCAAGCCTCCGCAAGGATCTTCATCTCACCGTCAGATCGCGCTTATCATCGTCAGCTCCTCCCGTTCCTTCACAGTTAACCTTTTTCCTGTCCTATGTGATATAGTCCATGTTCCAGAGGGCAAAAAATATAAAAATAGCCGTTTATACCAGGGGTGCGGAGCTGGAGCCGGAGCAGCCGGAGCCGGCATATTTTGCCCAGAGCCGGAGCCGGAGCCGTAAAACAATATAGCCCGGAGCCGGAACCGGAGCCGGAGCCGTCAAAAAAGGGGGTGACTCCGGCTCTTTTTTAAGAAGAAAAATTATTAACCTAGTTCGGTTTGACAGTACAAGGCCATGTGGTATTCACTATTCAAATTAGCCTTGTTATGCAAATACAGAGGCAACGTGTACCAATCCAATTTCAATCGCCCTTTCTCTTCCACCCGTAGGTATTTAATTAATCGCATAGGGGATGTACCTACTGAGAAGGAGCCGGAGCCGCCGGAGCCGGACCATTTTACTCGGAGCCGGAGCCGGAGCCGGACCGTCTGAAATTTCCACGGCTCCGCATCCCTGGTTTATACGAAAAAAGTTTTAGGTAACAGATTTTGACTGAAGGGAGCCACGACATTACTTTTACCAGCAACGTGTTCCCCTCGTCGAGTCGCGTCGAATGAAATTCGGACTTCTAAGGTCATTTGGAAAATTTGACCTCGGGTCAGGGCATGGCCTGACCGGCAAGGGTCATGCTGCATATCAGTTGATCCGTATCGCCGAGTTGAACACATCTGACATGTTTTTACCGCTCTAGCACGTCTGTCGTCTCTTATATCAATTCAAAAGAAATAGTTTAAAAAAACTGCTGGTGACCCTTCATGACCTGAGACACCCTGAGATAACCTCAGGGTCACACAAAGGGGTAACGGGTGCAATATTCGGGTGTGTCATGTTTTCCAATAAACCGATGTTTGGGAGTGTTTATAGGTAGCATGGGCGTCGAAAGCGGGGGGACGGGGGACACCCCCCCCCCCGCCGGCAGTCGATGAATCCGGGGGGGACGTCCCCTAAAAAAATCGGCCATAAAGGATTTCAAAAGTGACTATTTGCAACGGTCATTCAATATGGAGTTATGTAAACAGAAATAAACCATTTTTAAAAGAATACCTACTGATGCTGGTCAGTTCGACGGTACAACTGAGAACTCAGACACTTCAGCGGCTCAGGTACAGCCCACCGCTAAAGTAATGTAGGGTTTTACCAATCTCAACGGTTGGCTTTGACTGGCGATTGTTTAATGCGGAGTGATCGAAAAGAAGATGTCAATAGCTAAAGTTGCAGCTGCAAGGGTGACGATACATATACCTAAGCTACATTCAAAGTTTCATTGTAGTCTGGCTAATCGTTCCTAAGCTTCATAAGCAGAACATACTCATGACTGAAACCCCACATTACTTCTGCTGTGGACTGTACACCCACCAAAGGCTGAAGTTCGGTCCTCTGGGTGGGGTGACAGCTGCATAAGCCACACATTCGAATATTCACAATACTCAAGCACTTCTAAACGGCCATCCTCCCGTGCTAGGCAAAACGACAGCCGAAGGGGCTCACCAGTTCACCATGACCTTAGAGTACCTGATGCTGGTGTGAGAGGTCAGAGGACCTCGCCACGGTCTGGGATTTTTTTTATTGGGTTAGGACTTTTTGGTCTGACGAGACCATTTCAGAGCCGGAAGGAGATGGGAATTAGGGGGAGGGCGAGGGGGGACATTTGGTCTGGGCGAGCACCCTGATAGTCGACGAGGCTGAGCCCGTCCAGAGGGGCAGGCCGACCAGCACCCCAAGCACACACCAGTCACCGCACCCGGTTACGGTCGTGCTCTTATCGGGGGTTCCCGCATGGGATAAAGTTGCCCGTCCAGCCCGGAACAAGGAGTTGAGGCGTAGAGGAGAGGGATTTGACTGTCCTGAGGATAGAAATGACGGAACGGTGTGTGGTATGAGAGGGTCTAGGAGGTTTGAATACTCAGTGTGGGCCTATATTGGTCTGACCTCTTTACCGATAAAACCACCGTCCACCAGTCACAACGGTCAACAGAACCTACAGCTCTTATCCCACCTGCCCACGATCGGCTAAAACGGCTTCATAAATTTCGACTAACCAGTTAAGAGCAATGAGCATGACTTCAAGCCAGAGAATGTCGACTCTGACTTCGGAGTCGAAGTACAAACGACTTCGGTGACTCCAGCTCCGACTCTGGCCAGAGCTGTCAAGTCAAGCTGACGAGCTGTCAAGCTCCGGCTCCGATCCCGCAGTCCTGCACTTGCACTACACAAAATTACAAACTTCTAGGAAATAAGTTATACGGTTAAAGGACCACATTTTTTTAGAGGGCTATTTGACTTTGTGACCAGACCTTAGGTAAGTGTTAAGGAGCGGACCTTAGTTAAGGAGCGGGTTGGATGCCATGCCACATTTCGAGTCGGGAGACGTCACTGCAGACTTCGAAACTCCAAAATGACTTTATAAAGCGGATTGATAAACTATGGATATCTATGGAGAAAATCCGGGAACAGCTCAAGCCAGTAGCGGCGGAACACCTTCAATTAAGGGGGGTGGGGGGTGGGCACTGCCGACTTTAGGTCCCATTCTTTCCATGCGTCGCCTATAGGGCTCATGTTAAAATGCCAAAATCAAAAGGGGACACGGTGCCCCGGTGCCCTCCCCGTTCCGCCGCCTATGGCTCAAGCGGCCACAATAAGCGGCTGGATTTATTATTCGAGGATTTATTAAGCAGATTCCACTGTACAGCATTAAAAAATAAGTCCACTGCAGGCCTGCGTTGCTAATGGGTAAGTACATCAAATAGTGACTATTTGCTTAGTTTTGATATGGCACGAGTTTTGATATGGCCGTGAGGAAAACATTGGGTTCTAATACCGCCCGGTCGGTATTAGAACTGCCCTACCGGCCGATTACCTACTGACCGTTCCGAATTTATACAGGCCGGCCTTACGGTCATTATTGATACGGGCCGGGCAGCATTAACCCTCGCACGACCAGGCCATTTCTCATAACACGAACGACCAGGGGGGGGGGGGGGTTGTTACGACCCCCCCTGGCGTTTCGAAACGGAAGGTCGTAGAGCTTAGCGGAAAAAACCAACGGATTGCTCTCAACGAGATCTCGCGATTGGTGGTATATTTTTTGGTCCTAGGTCAACATTTGACCTACTTTTGACCGGTCAAAGGTCACATTTTCGGAAAAATAGACTTTTTTCAACTTTCGGCGGCGATTGCGGCAAAACGGTGGGAGATATCGACTTGAAATCTTCACTATCGTGTTCCTTGATCAATTCTCTATCGTTTGATATGTATTTCGTTTCCCTAGCTCTAAAAATGGCGCGTTGGGAGCGCCGGAAGTCGGCAAGGTCACAGTCGGCGGCAGAAATTCGAAAAATCAAAATTTAAATTTTTGAAATCTGATTGTATTTTTGGATTTGGGAGGTCCATTTGCTCCCTATAGATTATAGAAGCTAATATTGCTGCATATTCCCATTGAGGTGACAAGAATTAGCAAAATAGTGGTTCGGCCGCTTTTCAAAAATAGTACCGGACGCTGTTCCTCTTGTGACGTCATAGCTCCGTGACCTGACCTGACCCGGTCAAATTTCTTATACCATATGATAGCCAATACTTGCCCCAACATGCATGGGAAGTTTCATCACGATCCATCAACCGATGTCCGTACCACCGGCAGGAAACCTCGGGCGTTGGCACTCAGTTTGTGAAAATCCGGCCGGAGGCTGTACCTCTTATGACGTCATAACTCCGTGACCTGACATGACCCGATCAATTTTTTTCGGCAAAAGATGCGCAAAGGTTGCCCCAGAGGGTATTGAAAATTTCAGCCCGCTACGACAAGCCGTTTAGCGTGCACTTCGAAAAAACCTCAGGGGGGGGGTTGATACAACCCCCCTAGGTGTTCTAGGGTTAACCCTCGCCGGCACAGGCCATTTTGAGTCCTTCGACGGCACAAGGGGGGGGGGGGTTGGTACAACCCCCCTTGCGTTTGGCCCCTGATCAAGCTAGAGCTTCGCGGAAAAAACGAGCGTGTTGCCCGTCACGAGACGAAGCCGATGATACCCAATTTTAAGGTCCTACGTCATCGGGTGACCTTCCAGGTCAGGTCAATGACCCGAAAACCGGGAAAATCGGGACCTGTTAGAAAGTCGTAAAGTGTGGCTGCTACGTGGTTTTCCGGGGTGCTGATCACGAATATCGTGTTAGTTTTGATCAGAGATGATGTCATTAAGCATTTAGACCAGGTCGGGTCAGGTCAGGTCAGGTCAAC